CTGTTAAAGCCCGCGGATTATGCGCACGGATTATGCCCTCTAGATTTCCTTTCTTAGTTAGCGAACCCTAACGCGATACCAAATCGGGCGCGGATTGTGCATAATCCGTCGCCTTATATTGGTTAGGGCTAAGTCGACTTAGGGCCCTGGGATAGGTGCTAACTACTAAGAAAGAAGAGCCTATATACCTGTAAGGTAATTACGTGACATTTCCTATCTCTTGCACACTCGCTCGAGTCCGTCTGTTCTTTGTAGGTAGCGAGCGTTTTGACACGTTGTCATTCCTAAACGTGAGCATCACACGCGCGTTGTCGATGTAACGCTTAGCATGGTCATCATCGACGCAATAAGACGTGGCGCGAGTGGGTAAATGACGTGAAACCCTCGTGGCTGTGACGGACATCACTACCCGACTGGAGTGATGGTATCGCGTGGAATTTAGGACCCAAGGCTGCTTGCATGGATTACGCAACACAATCCGAGCCTCACGACGTTGAGCCACAGCACTGGCATTCCAAATATTCCGACGTGGCGTCACTCTACTTTTATAACAACGGTTGCCATCGAAGATTGCGTATCGCGAGTGGGGCCTTTCGGTGTGATATCGCGGTCGCAGCATAGGCGCGTGGCGAGTGTCCTCGGGAGCTTAAGTTCAGTGATAACCGTGTTGCATGGCATGCGACGCAGTGAATGGATGTATGTTCTGCGAGGCAATAGCGGACGACAATAGGATATTCAGCGCGAGATTGATCGGGATGCGATTAAGTTTAAGGACTTTAATTCGTGTTTGTAGACGCGCGGATGCGACATAGGTACCGCCTTATCCCGGTTTGATGCGCACATTACGCCTTTTGCTTCATCTTCTTCCTGGCCTGAGTTGCGACGTTATCCTCGTCGTCCCGCTGCAGAAGTGCCAGAGCTTCATGAAGCAGCCTCTTCTCACCGAGCCTGACTGTGATCGCCATGCGATGGCGCTTAGCCAGGTCGTCACCTTTGAGAAGCGTCTCGTCTTCTTCCATGGTCGTCGGATACGTCTCAAGCTTTGCAGTCAGAGCCTTCGATACGATCGCTTGGTAGTCGTCAACGCGCTTCCGCTTCTCCGAGAACAGCTCCGGCTTCTGCTTCTTGATGCCCTTGAAAACAGCCTTCACTTGCTCTTCCAGCTCAGGAGACACTTCGCGCAGCTGAGCCGGATACGTGAGCTGCCCTTCCGAATCTGGATCGCCGGAGTCACGCTCGATGATGAAGTACTCTTCGAACTCTTCGTTCTCTTCCAGCTTTGCCTGGGTCATTGTCAGCTCATGCATCCATCGGGAGTAGGACCGTCTTCATTGTACCTCGACCCTGCTAACGACCTCTTCCGACACTGTGAACTGTTCAATGAGCGCTGCGCGAACGAGGCTCCAAGATAGCTCCGCTACATCGTAACGAGCATGTTCAGGTGTTACGTAGCCATAGCGGCGTAGTAGCTCAGACGTTGGTAATGGACCGTAGTAGTTGAGGACCTCCGACCCAGCTGGCAGAGTTGAGCGAAGCGACGTAACTTCGAGACTGTCGCCATGATTGACATGCGCCTGTCGGGGTCTGTTAGCTCACTGAATCGTGTGACCGTGTTAAAATAAGCCTTACGTTGAAATCGGCATTCGCATTGAGTATGTCTGCCATGGGTACCATTCCAAGAGGAATGGTGCCGTCACGATCTTCAACCCATCCGTCTTCTTCGTTGTCGGACTCTTCGTCTTTGTTATCCAGGTCGAAAGCGTAAGACATGATCGTGCTACCCATACGATGCGCAAGATCAAGAAGTTCTTGGCTTGTCAGCTCTGCCGCGCCTTCCGGATAGAATACCTCAGGGCTTTGCTCGACGACAGGAACAACGCGCGATTTCAACATGTCATCACTCTGCTGCTTCCCAATCTTGTCGACCGAAAGGCAAGTTCCCTCGAGCTCCTTCAGTTCTGCATCGGACCAGAAGATGGGTGTATCGAACGTCCGTGGTAGTACGTCCAGATATGGCTTCCAGCGTGATGCATCGCCCTGTAGATGCTCGTACATCATAATCAGTATGAGGGACGTCCATGAGTCGAGTGGTTCTTTCTCATCGTCGCCTTCACCACCGACAAACGCGTCGAAAACTTCTGGCAGTTTACTGGGAAGTTCGGAAGTCTCCACGCTGATGATGAGGTCTCTGGGGATAGTGAATAGCGTTGTGTCCTCGGGTATGTCTTTCTTTGCGACTATGCATTATTAGTAATCACCATTCTACGTGTTGCTTCACCGGAGGGCATACTGATTCCTCGGCCAGCGTCTTTGTGTCTCAGATCTTGAATTTCTAGCAGGTCGTCGCGGAAGACACCACCGCCGGCTTTGAACCACGCCAGAAAGCGATCTGTGGCGCCTTTAAAGTCTTCCTCGGCTGGCGGACACGACATATTGAGCTAGCAGATCAAGTGTGTAGTACGGCTTGATGATGATGGCGACGTTGCAGAGGTTGCGCGCTTCTGCACGCGTTGACGGTGGTCGCGTCGGCGCAATTGGTGGGTGCAGAATCAGACGCGACTAGCGCGACGTCGGAGATAATCACAATCTCCGGGTGGATCCCGAACGCATCGCCGCCCAAACACACTCACTCCATCTTCACACCATGGCAGCGAAACGTCGTAGAAGCATGCATTAATCTACCTATGTCGCAGCACCCCTACAGCTCCGAAGGCACTCAAGAGTTGCGACGCACGAACCGAATGTTCCCTCGCCGCCGCCTGTCATCATCAACACGCCTCCACAAAGCGTTCACAGCTCGCTCGACATCATCCATCCTCTCCGCTATGTCTGAACTATCGGTCATCACCTCTTCCGTTCGATGAAGCTGCTCCAAGAATCCCATCGTTCGCATCATGCGGCCCGCACTCGGTAGAGTCGCGCCATCATCGCGCCTAGGCGATACGCCGCTGTGTCGCGATGCTGGCGCTATACCTCCTCCCCGCTGAGACATTCGTTGCGACAACCGCTCATTCTCCTCACGTGATTCCCTGTTCGCCCTAACCGCCGCGGCGAGTTGTAGGCCCGCATCAACCGCCTGCCTGGCGTGTCGCAGCTCCGCCTGCATTAATCGCCGTTCCATCTCCTCGTCCTCTTCTTCTGCGCTGCCACGACGCACGCCTTGCGACATGTCAGCACCTGTGTGCGCTGCGCGGTCGGCTAGGTACAATCTTCTCTCGTCGTCAGCAATCGCCTGAATGGTCTGTTCGAGAGCTGCTTGAGGCATTGCAGGTAGATGTTGACCCACGGATGCGAAGAACCGCTGACGCTCCTGCTCACTCGTATTGTCCAACCCAAACATAAGCTCCATTAGCCGGTCCTCCAGCGTCGCCCCAGGCGCACGAAAGCGACTCCTCTGTCTATGCGCCGCCGCTACTGTGGACTCTTCCAGCTCTTCGTCGGCCTCGTCCTCTGCATCGCCAAACCAGCTCTCGCGACATATTGGACACCTCCTGCTATATCCTCTACCGCTGCTCAGATGCTCTTCGATACACGTTCTGCCGAACACATGCCGACAAGTCGAGTTGGCGTGGGTGGAGCGTACGCGTACTGGGTAGTCGCCACCTTCCTCCAGCGGGGGAAAGGCCTCGTAGCACAACTTACATATCCGGTCGCTTTCCGGTACATCGAGTAATGGCACGGGTATCAAATGCGATAGGTACTCGCGAATGCGTCGTTCAGCTCGTTGACTGGGCATGTTGAAGGAGCTAATTTACAGGATTGCGCAACGTGTGTAGGTATGGTAAGGAAGCAAGAAACGACGTTCCTGCAAAGAGTACTTATGTATTGTTTCGTGCTTCACATCAAGCCTTCAAAGTCGCGGTCACGTACGGAGATATCGTAATGGTTTCCACGCGTTCAATCCATGACTTCCAATAGGATGTGCATCAACATTCTTTATTCTGGTACCCGATCCAAGCATGCGACTTCACCGCCGACAGCCAAATACTCATATCAGGGAATCTAATTTTTCCGCAGCATCCGCACATAGTAACCCACGACAGACCAGCGTGCTAAAAAAAGAGACAACTACTAACAAAACCATGGGATTCCAGTTCTCTGCACCAACGCCCAACCTGCTACTGAGTAGCCGAAGCGGCCTGTCATTTTCGTCAACCGATTCACAAATACACCCACCCTCGGGCTCCTGCACAAGACTTCGGGCACTTCCAGCTCTCTCATATCTTAATAGGTCACACGGACCTTGCGAGTCTTCCAGACCTCGCCGGTCTCACCAGATGTGACGATTGTCTGGCCGTGTGCGTCCCTCAGGCCCCCCAAGGTCTGCAACTCGTGATGCATCCGCTTGGTTTCCATCTCCATCCCTGTCTCTCCTTCCAAGCAGTCGCGCAGCTTGAGCTCTTACTGCAGTCTCCACCCTTCGACGGCGCTCAGGCCACGGAGAGTATACCGGCTCTCTTGCTCGAATATAGAAAATGACTTGATCTGGGCGTAGAGGTACAGGTATAGTGCCAAACCACTGCGTCCGGCATAGCGGGCACTTATTACTCCACGCAGTTCGGGCATCGATCAACCTGCGCAGGCAACGATGACCGAAGACGTGGTGACAATCGCCGAAGTCAACTTGCACGGGGTGCTCGGGATCGCCTTCCTCATCAGGGCTAGGGCCGTCATATTCTGTGTCGTAAAGCAAACAAGTGCGGTCTTCGATTTGTAACGAAGAGGCCTCGATGTTGGTACAATGGAGCTCCTCGAATGTCTGTGCGTCAGGCGCTGGTTGCGGGGGCTGACGGGCTTCTTGCATTGCTTGTTCCTGTTGGATATCGGGTAGTAAATTGCCTTGAAAATTGGGGAGAGTTATACATCGACGGTTGGTGAAGGGTAACTCCAATCGACAGTCGCAAACTCTCGTGAAGCGTCGTGTCGTAAGAGTAGTACCAGAGTGTTCTCAGGACGTCGATTACGCCCCAAAAAGGCGTATCGTGGAGCAGCTATTTCCGACGATTAAACGAGAGGCTGTCATTGCTTCAATCTCGGCACGCACACGCTATTCCCGTCAACGCATTCTACTGCGCAACATCGACTCTGTATCAATAGTCAATCTCATCTACTGCGTAACCCGCATGTCGTCCCGGCTCCGACATCGTCGCCATCACCAAATCTGGCCCTTGCTCTGTTGAATTTGCTTCACGTTGATATTCCGCCACATCAACACCCCAACAGCGCCGAGGACCCAGATACCCGTACTCACGAGCAGAAGCCGAGACATCGCGTCTTCATATGCACGTTGAATAGCGCTGCGCGTGGGCGAACCGATCGGATAAGACAGCTGCTGCGCCAGATCCCCAAAGATCTTGTGAAGATCTGGCAACTCCTCCTGGGACAGGTATTGCCGAAGTCGACTTGGAAGCACGTCCGACCAAACTGAGGCGGCGATAGTCAAACCAATGGCCCCGCCTATGTTCCCAAATATGCTAACGAGAGCGAGCATCGCGGCGACATGCTCATGTGACCCTGCTGCCAGGATAGCGATCTCATCCGTAACGACGAGGACGCCCTGCGAAACGGAGATGAGGAGGAAACACATGATGATATAGCCGGTGTTCCCCGGAGCGAGGAAGAGGACCATGAGACCCTGACCCAGCATGCTCAGCGGTATACCAACGATAAGCGATACGGTTTTGAAGCGGCCAGTGCGATGAATGATGTAGCCAGCCAAGACCGCGAATACCACACTGACCACGGTATAGGCTTGCGCGACGTAGCTTGCTTCCTCCACGGTGAGACCCTGCACGACTTGCAGGTATGAGCCGAAGTAGCTGTTCCAAATGGAATAGCTGGCGAAGAGACAGGTGCATAGGAGACATGCGCCGAAGACTGTTCGATCCATGAGTAAGCTGTATGGAAGGAGGGGAATTGTCGCACGCTTCCTCTCCCAGAATGCGAACGCGATGAGAAGACCAATGCCGACTACGAACATGCCGACCACGATTGACGATGACCAACCGTTGCCCGCCAGCGTGTGAAGGTTGAACGGCAGCAGAAAAAGCGTTACACCCACCGAAACAAAGCACAAGCCGATCGCATCAAACTCGCGGCCATAGTGCACCACTGACTGCGCAGCACTACGACCGCTGCTGCGCTCGCGCATAAGTCCCATGCATTTCGCCTTCCGATAATTCCACACCAACAGCCCAAACAGCGGCAGCGTAACAAGCGGAACAAGCGCACCGAACATGCCAAACGCCCACCTCCACCCCAGGCCGTTCAGATACCCTTGCGCCAAGGGCCCAGCCACCCACCCAGTGATGAGGCCAGTCGAGTTCATGAGCGCTTGCATCAGCGCCCTATTCTCCAATTTCGTAGTATCAGCGATAAAAACCGACAAGATGTACTGCACGCCATTATTCCCCACAGCATGAAAAATCATAGCCGCAGCATACGTTCCCACGCCCTCGCACACAGTCATCAAAAGCAATCCCATCGTACCGAGAACCACGCAAAGAATGAAGCCATGCGGTCGCCCGAAGACATCGATGATTTTGGCAATCGTCAAATTGGTGACTCCGCCGACGACGTTACTCAGTATGCTGACGGTGGGCGTGAGCGAGTGCATCGAGAAAGCGGATGTGACGTATGGTACGAGCGCTGCTGTTGTACCGGCGAGTAGTGTTTCGACGAAGTAGATGAGGTAGATCATTGTGTAGGCTGTTGTGAGGGAGTGCTTTGTCCAGGCGCGTGTTGTGGCTTCGATGGCGAGGACGCCTGGTTGGACGGCGGTGGAGGGGGTGTCATGATTGGCTGGTGGGTCTTCAAGGTGGGTATGGGGGGTGTTGTCGATGCTGGATTTCGTAAGCTCGGCAAATTTGGATGTCGAAGAGGATGGGGAGAGAAGAGGCTCTTCGATTGAGGCGCGGGAAGAATGCATGTCGCAAAGTTGCGGTCTTGAGAGATTTGGACTGTTGTATCGACGGGAGTAAAATCGACCGTATAGACATAACTTCGCGGCTGACTACATCCACAGCTCAGTCGCGAATAGTCCTAGCAACAATGCAGGTTAGAAAGCCACGCTTTCTCGAACTAAGCTGACTTGTCAGCTTCACCGAGTCGACGGCACAACACGAGCACGACGTGCAGGTGGCTCAAGCGGCTGGGCAAAGAGCATATTTGCGATCGTTATGGCCCGAAACCCTGAACCTTGCTGGTGCGCAAGTGTGGGGGCTCAAGATGCACGGCTGACATGCGTTTGGGGGCTACATCATGCCCGCGGAGGCTTGTCGCACGAAACTGCCTATTCTTGTTATGGTGCTGGGCGGTGCGGTTGCATCTTTCACGCGTTAATGGTGAATTCCAAGGTAATACTGCACACGTCCGAAAAGAGTCAAGAGTCAAATTATACGCGCAGTAGCTATCATACCCCCCCGCAATCACG